AAAAAAAGACATTCCACCCATTTACATGTCCATGATCAGGACATATGTTCACTGAGACAGGAAAAGGAATTCTTAAAATAAAAGTCATTCTGTCTGGGAATAACAGAAAGGGTGGGTTAGCATACAGGTATGGAAGAGAGAATTAAGCAGACAATTTATTCCTATTCATCAGGACTTTTCTGAAAAATATTAAAACTTTGTATTATACATTTTTGTAAACTACAATACAATTATGCTATAGGTGATCAATAATGAAAGATCCAGTATTACCTAATATTCCCATATCTCTCCAAACTGAAAAGAACCATGCTTGACCACCATCTTGAAAGGTGGTTGGTGTTAGCAAGGCTTCCAACCATCATATGAACAGGGCCTTTAACAAAGCAATCCAGTTTCTCCAGTGTGTCACTAATGGGATTGAAACAAAAAGGTGATTCTGGCTACACTGAAAAGCATCAAATAGCAAGGGATTACTACTATCAATGAGTAAAATTTCTGTGCACCCATTATATTTCAGCACAGAGCTCGATGCTTTACATAAGTCATCACATTTGCTCCTCACCAATACTCTGAAATGCACAAAGGTATCCCCATTTAAAAGACAAGTAAAAAGGTTGAAAAGGTCATAAGAGTTTTCCCAGTGACATATAACTGCCAAGGAGGACAATTGAAATTTAATTCTAAAACCTATGCTTTTTCCTTTATAGGCTCTCTAGGGAAAGAAGTGTTTACTGATGCACGATTATTAAAATTGCAAACTAAACAAACATTAATTTTCTTTTCTGTAATTCTACATTCTAAAATGGAAAGTCATATTGCCCTATAAAATACCTATGCAAATAAAAACCAAGCAACATAGTGATGCAAAGGCTAGGGTGGGTGGCTCCATCACTCACTTGTCCTACCTGTCTTGCCACAAGATTCAAATCCACACCTTGACAAAATAATTAATTTACAATATAGTATAGGCCTTCAAGTAACCATAACAAAATGTTTGTCTATACATGCCAAGGACCCACTGTTTACAATCAGCAATACTTACAGTTTATCATAAGGGTAAAGTAGAAATGTGTGTATAACATTTTTTTTTGCAAGTTAAAGCACATAATTATGCTAATACTAGGGACCAGTATTTTCTGTGTAAGAGAAAAGAGATTGAAATATAGTATTAAACACGTTTTAAAAGTCTATGATACTAAATTTGAGTTAGAAATATGAAGGTCAAATTAAAATTTATTTTTAATATACTATACTTCCAAGCTCTAGAAGGAATGATACTGCAATAGCAATAAGCACCCGAAGCATCTAAGTTATGCTTTCTGAAAAATGTATCAGAGTTCATTAGAGTATTTATTGGCTGATACTGGGTCTGGGAAAAGAATGTAATATAAATGTAAGCCTAGGAAATCTTAAACCAAAAAGCAAGGACGTAAGCAAAGATTGATGGGTTTGTGCTTAAAAGGA